CCTGGAATTCAAGCACAGCAAAACGAAATGTTTTGCTCCTTAGCAGGCATATACATGACTTCAGGATTTGTTGGCAACCATAAATAGAAAATGCTTCCACAGAGTGAATTCAAAAAGCTTGTATAGTGACAGCATCTACTAGGCTCCAACTCCTGCTGCAAGCCAGAGCCACGGAAGATGGGAAGAAAAATGCTCTACAACAGCATGCATACTTAAAAACACACATACAGTATGTATAAATTACATACCAGGATAAATCTCTCCGTTCTCAGAGTTTCAATTTTGCTCTTCATCTGTTCTTGCCCTTACGACTTTTATTCTGTCCTTGCTTTTGCCTGTGTCCTTTAATTTGACTGTCTTTCACTCCTCCATTTGTTGTGCTCCTATGCCCACTACACCCATTCAACAAAAGCGGTCCTCCGCATTTCTGATGGGCAGAGGTGACACTAGCAGATTTCTGAACGGCACCCACACTTTCTCACGTGGTAGGTTGAGTGGCGGTGCTTGACAGGAAAGCGAGATGAATTGAGCAACTTGGGAAGTTTATGTATGGAAGCTTTATTTCTTCTTTCCCCCATATAGTACATATATGGTACATATTTACAAGATACACATGCATATCCTTTCGTATGTATTAGATATCATAAAGTGTAAATTTGTATTGGTTTTGATAAAAGTGAACAATACCTAATTAAGCCATTGGTCAGACCATTTTAGCATTTGAGAAAGACAAAGGGGCATCCTCATGAGAAAGCACATTGGAACATGCTTAGAGAGAGAGGAGGATAGAGCTCCATCTGGGGAATAAAAGGAGTCATAAGAAATTCAGACAGCAAGGAAATGAGCCTAGAGAAAAAGTCTAGGACAGACTATTTCAGGATGAAAGATGATATTTACATTGAACTATAAACTGAAATTTAAACTACCATTCTCTGAAACTACAGGAAGGGTGCATATGTTTAGAAACAGTACTCTATTTCAGGGGAGCTATATTTGATAATGCTGTCATGTACAGAACTGGCATAATTAAATATTAAATTCAGTCGATTCCAGAATGGTGGAAGGGAAAAGCCTTAAACCACAAATACAAAAATAAAATAATGTAGTTTGCTATTGTACGTGTTTTGATGGTCCCCATTTTATCTTCAGAACTGACCAGAGGTGATTAAATCCTCAAATCTAAAGCAACTTTAAAATACAAAGTTATCACTGAGTCCTATGCTATTAGTCATTTTTTTAATCATTGTAATACGTACATTTAATTTAACATATGCGGGTTAGGGACTCTGTGACTTACATCTTTGCTTTTCCAAAGAGAATAAGGACTTTTTTTTCTGAAAGTGCATGGAATATCATGGTAAAAACATACTTTTTTGGGAATAACTGGCTTGGGAGGCATCAATCACCTTTACACTTTCCCTGTTGATGTATGCAAGACAATCTTGAGGCTGACACGTTTCTCAGATGAGCTGCATGTAAGGCAAGGATGCTGGCTGCCTCATTATTTTGGCTAGGATATTCTGTAACATGTTTTCATGAGGAAAATGACTCAAGTACAAAGTGGAGAGATGCTGTATTTAATGTGAACCACCCGTCAATTCAGTTAACTAAGAGAAACCATACTCTTAGCACAGTTGCATTCATATATGTATCAGTAGATGGGTGTAGAAAAGAGAAAGATCTATCAGTGATTTCTACACAACCTCCATGTTTGCTCTAGAGTGAAAACCAGAATTAATCCTACCTTTATAGCGAGCGTTTTCTTCCTTTTCATCACTTACTTACCTGATCTTTCCTGTTTAATTGCTGTGCTTCAGCAGATCTTTACAAACATTATCTCTAAAACTTTTAACATTATATACTAGCACACAACTGTTGCAAAAGTGGTGATTCAAAAAGAATGTGAAATCAACAGCAAGTGTAAATTAATGAAGCATGTTATCAATTTTTCCACTAAAGAGATTTTCTCAGTTCAAACCCCAAGGCATGAAATTCAAGTTTGACACTGCCACAGTTGGATTAAAGTTTTCAGATAGTTGACTTGAAAAGAGGGATCTGATCTATACAGACATGTAAGTCTGCAGTTAACTGAGCAAGTGCAAAGAGATGAGAGAGTATCTTATTCTTTCAAAAATGTTTTACAACTCTAATATAAAGTATTAATTTTCAGAAATGCAAGGGTCCAAAATTTCCACAGAAATTCTCAGAAGAGTTTTATTTCAAATAATTGATATGGAAAAATCAAATTCTGAGAAAAACTGTGAAGAAACTAATGTGATTTTTTTTTTCTTGAAAGGGCAAGTAAAGAAAGAAAAATTTTCATACAGATTTTTAAAATACTGTCATCGCATCTCAATTCTTTAAAATATTTTAAGTACTTCAAATAAATTTATTCTGCCTTAAAACTGATACTACAAGGCATAAATGAATCCTATGTACTGTAGCCTAATAATTTATATTTGACTTCTGTAGCTCTGTATCAAGGCTTCTGGTCAGTAGAGGATGTTTTCTTTTTTGCTAGAGAATACACACGAGAAGGGCTCTGTTCTGTGTGCTGCCTTCTCTTCTGGAAATGGGGGCTGTTGTGGAGATAATTTGATGGCAGAAAAAAGAAAATTGTGGATGCAGACACAGAGAAACAAAATGTACTTTAAATGACAAATAGCTACCAATTTCTCCCTCATTGTTTTGAGAGAATGAGAGGGATGAGAGGGATGAAAGGGACAGGGGAAGGTTAAGGGGATATTCCTGTTTGCCTTCAAATTTATAGAAAATTTATATTCCTAGTCCACATTAAGAATCATCTATTCTGAGCTGATAAATATCTGTGACTAGTTAGGTCGGCATGCATGGCAGCAATCTCAGCAGCAGATCTCAACATGCTTAAAACCTTCAGGAGGAACATTATCTTCAGGAGGAACATTATCTCTGAGAAAATTCTTTACTAACCAGCATTGAAAAAGCATACATAGATTTGGCTACAGTGCAAACTGCTTTGAAAAAGAATCCGACTGAAAACATTTCCTCCATGAAGTCAATGATAAATGATATGAGAGACATTTCCTGTTCTCTCGTATGCATTAAGAGTTTGCTTTGCATAGAAACTCAATTACATGCCCTGGAAAGTTCTCCCCACAACATCATGGAACAATGACATGATGATTAGAAGAAAATCACAAAGTACACATAAACACACAAGAAACACTCTCATGCAGAAACTGCGCAAGCAAAGGGGAAGGAGCACAACCAGGTTTCACAAAGCACACGGAAGCGAGATGTGAGAGTCACTGTTGGAAACTTTTCTATTGGCAAGAAAAATTGATTCTCACCGTTCTGAACAAAATGGCTGAACTAAGAGCATCTGACTGGTTATGCCCAAATACCCTCCTCCTCATCCTAGTGGTGCACAGGCGGCAATGGGAGAAAAGCCCCAGAGCAGCATGGGAATGAAATAAACAGTTGGTTAGTATTTAAAACACATATGTAAGTACAAATAGTAGTATAAAGTGTTCAATTCCTTATGCAATATTCTGAGCCACCTTGAGGTACAGCTTTCTTTGCTCTCTTGTAGGCTTTGTCAGCTTTTAAAATGCCTCTATGCAAAGGGAAAGTGCAGTCAGATCCTCCTTCCACCCCCTCCTCCCTATCACTCTCCCCTGTGAGGTCTTTGCAAGAATCTCCTTAAATGTTTAAATTTTATCTTTTCTTTATATTTTAACTTTTCATTTCATCCGTGAATGCTATGCTGCATTCGTTTGCAAGCATGTACTACAGTTACATTCTGGAAATGGCTTCATTTCTCTATAGACTTGCAGTGTAGAAACAACAGATATTCTAACATGCCCTCCAAATTAAGATTAGAAAAGCCATTTAATTTGCAACTGCACTCTCCTGAAGAAGGCAAGATTAACATTTTCCCAAAACATTGCAGAAAATTCAAGCTAGTTAATTTACAGTTCTTTATCATCTGGCGGAGGGTATTGAAACAAGATGCAAAAGGAAGTTGCTTTGAAAATGAGAATTTTTCTGTTCATTCCTTTGTATGTACCCTTTTTTTTCTTCTGATGAAGACATTAAAAGACATTTTAAAAGAGCTGTTTTTGTAAGGTGAACACGTAATTGGTTTTTGCCATTTTCCTCTTGTACCTTACTCATAATTTCTCCATATCACTAGGTTGGTGCTTAAAGGTCTGGAGTGAGCTGCCTTCCTTCAGATCTCAACAATTTCTAGATGAGCCAAAGGCAAAGAGGAGTGCCAAACATTCTTTCACTTTTTCAAGGAAGTGATTAATGATCACTAGTATTTTAATTAAGCTGGAATAGATGAGATTACAACATGGGATATGCAATTATGTTGGCATTTTCTGTGCTACCCAAGGGATAGGTAATCTCTCTGATAGTTATCAAGCACAGGGCTGTGCTTTGTAAATGACACAGGAGGCTCCTCACTGCCTTGGAGATGGTAAATTGATTTTCCTTCAGTTCACGGCCCATTGAGTTTGTGAGGGAGCGGTCTGTACTCATTTGGCACAGAGGCTGGGATTTCCTCATGGGAAATGAAGGGAACTGCTCATATGCAATCCATAGATCAGAAAGCTGATCCTGGGGCATGATTTCCTGCTACTGAAGACAAGGAACAGTCCTGGACACTCCACATACTCAAGCAGCAAACCTTAGTAACTAAAATCTATCTGAATATGCCAGACAGGACTCCGGTTTTGCATTTTAAGAGAGCAATGTTTCTTTCTTCCCTTTCATTGTCTGCCTTCTCTTTTCCACCCACTTAATAACAGCTTGGTACTGGGAACTGTTTGTCACATTTCAGGAGTTTTCAAGGAAGCCGACACAACAGCAACATCCATTTCTGGTTTATAACTGCACTCTGGAATGCTATTTTTGTTCCAAGGTAATGCAAGTATGTCAGGGAAAATTACATATGATTCAAAATAATCATCCCCCATAGTAAAAATTACGTTAAAAGAGAAAAAGAGACACATTACCTGGTCAGGGGAGGGCTTGTGGTTGGTTTGGTTGGAATGGGATGAGGATTTGAGGTGGTCATCCTCATAGTTGTCAGCCATCAGCTTCATACGGTTCTGAGTCTATTGAGAAGAAAAAAAAAAAAATAATCACCTCAGCCTACCTTCTAATGTTCTCACAAGGACTAAAGAGAATAGGGTATTCATGCTATCCTGTATATTCAAAATTCATTCTGAAAAAAAAAAAAAAAAAGACACTCATAAACCATTAGTAAATATTACTGTAGAGAACTGGTAAAAACTGGGACACACATTCCAACCTCTTCACTTTGAAGCTAAACCAGCTTTGCAATTAACTGGCTTATCTGACTTGTACCTACTAAAACCTGTGCTGTACATGTGTGTACAAAGAAATTAATTTCTTCTTATAGACTCTTGGGATTAAGGTTCAAACACCAATTTGGAGAACAATTCACTGAAAACATGTTAGATGTTCCTAAGTCAGTTTAAAAAAAAAACCAAAAGAAATCAGTCTTTTTAAAAAAAGAGTAGACAAGATGAAAATAGGTTATTACTTAAGAAGTCCATCCAGTTTCAACATGCAAATCAGTTTTCAATTGATATATCAAAGAGTAGGAAAATTCTGAGACTAGTCAGGAAAACGTGACTTATAGAAAAGCCTTCATGTGAGGAAATGAGTAAGTTAATAAATAACTCTTTTGGAAGAAAAGGTGACATAAAAAAAGATTTATAAAATTAAAAACTGAATACAGTCACGCAAAGAATTAACAAAATATGAAACAATTTTCTCAGATTTTCTACAACTTCTCAGAAAATGTCAAGTTCCAGAGGATACATAATTTTTAAAAACACAAAATATAAAACAAATTGCACAAGAATAAATGGAATACCTTACCTTTACCATTTTAGATAAGCAATTGCAATGAACATTAAACTATACTACATGACTGTGTTTGCAAAGGACAGCGTTAGTGAGATGAAATCCTGAAATGAGATCCCCAGGCACCTACAAACACACACACACAGAGACAAGGAAAGAAATCCACCTGGACAAAACGTCCCACCTCCCCAGAAGGGCTTAACAAAGACCATTCCGGCAGCAACAAAGCTCTGGGTGTAGCTTAGAGGGGACAGTAAAAGAGCCGGGTCTAGGGTCTCGCAAAGGGAACTGCTGTCCCTGACTCAGCTGCTTGACTTCAAGTTATCTGGGTGCCACTGTCACTGGGCACTCACACCTGCATCAAACTCAAAGTGGAGTGATGGCATTTCTCCTCCCAGCTTGTAAGGCAGACAACGGTGATTTTGAGCTTTGTTAAATTCTTGTATTCCAAAACCATAAAAAGGCTAGCCAGACCTATGACAGATATGATACACAGTAAATTATGTACAGCTAGACATATTAAATCATCAGAGATGCACTAAAATGAAATATCTTAAATAAAAGCTCAAAGCTCACTGTAAAAATGCCAGCTGTTGATTCAATCCTTTCGTAACTGCATGGTTTCTCACCGAAAACTCTAATTTTAATGAGCATCTCGAAGCTAGAGACTGCAGATTTTACTTGACTGTACTCAGATCATTATACACAAGGTCCAGGGTTTGAATCTGGATTTGATTTCATTTTGGAATAATTCAACAAAAGCTAATAGTAAATTGAGCTTAAGCAATAAGCAATTTAATCATGCAAAATCTTTATATTGTTTGCTCTGTTTTGTCAAACAAGTTTTGAATTTCAAGTCTGACTCATCATTCATAAATCACTACTTGAAACATGCTACATTAATACTTAAACAAACAGCTCATTGTAAAGGCGCATACTCCAGATTTATTATTTTATTATATTTAAGGTTGGCTCTTTAACAATTTCTTCTTTGCAATGAGAGCTATTGATTTTAAATTATTTCACATTTTTTTCGGAAATTTGTGGTTTTGATAATAAATAATAACTTCTTACATGACTCAGAGTGTGTGTGGAAAAAATCTATTAAAACCTAGAAGTTTAGCTGAAAGTTAGTACAGCACATTAACTTTTCTGAGAGAAAAAGTAGCTCTTCCCAGAGAGAGGCAGCCTGTTCTATGATATTGCACTAAAAAAACTATGTTAGTGCTAATACCGGAAGAGAAGAATATGAAGATCTAAACATTTAAGGCACAGTATCCCTCACAGAAAATTCTGAAGTGGAATTGAAGAGGTTGTGTACTTCCGTCACTTAAGTTCAAGTAGAATAACCTACTTTTAATACTTGTCAGGAGGTATGAAAAGAGGCTGAGAGAATTGGGCCTGAAAAAGAGGAGGCTTCTTTAATTACTCGATAGGAAGAGGGACAGAAGATGAAGCCACAGTTTTCCTGGAAGGGAAAGGACAAGAGATGAAAGATGTAAATCAGAACACAGAAAAATCTCATTAGAGGTCAGGAAAATTCACTTCATAACAAGGCTGATCAAACACTAGAATAGGCTGCCAAGAGGCTTCTGCATCTTCATCCTTGAAGATACTGAAAATCTGACTGGACAAGGCCTTAAGCAAGCTGCTCTAGTTAGAGATGCTCTCAGCATGTGGTTGGATGCAGAGGTCCACTCCAATCTAAAATACGCTGAAATTATTATTCAGGCTTTTCATCTTCAGGTAATTTTATAGCTATCAAGGCTGGTGTTTTCAAAAGAGGAGGGATCTAAGTTCCAAAATTCCTCCTAGTTGCTAAATATGATTTAGCTGCTAAATTCCATTACAGCCCTTTGAACATTTTAACCCTGAACAATCTCTGCAGCATCCCAATGACGACAATCATATGGGATCAGTTCACCTAGACAGCATTTTCTGTGTTCCCCTTTAATCCAACCTGATGTTCCACTGCTTCTGCTGTTAATCTAAGAACGCATGTTTGTGATACACAAGTCTTGGCAAGAAAACACCAAAATCAGTATTGTGATTTCACTACAGGAACTAATTTACACATATATCACTGGCATTAGGCAAAAGTCAAGAGAAGGAAGAAAAGCAGTTTATTTTCTGATGGATACCACAAAAAATTATTTTCCAACATTAGCATTCCAAGCAGTGTTGTAAATACATAATAAATGTAATGTAATGTAATATAATATAATATAATATAATATATATTTTCCTAAGTCTCTATGCTAAATATGGAAATAAGAAGCTTCTGGTTAGGACTGGAATACTAACTGATGAACTTCTAGCTGCAAATTTTTAAAATAACTGGAAATACATGAACAGTTTCTCTCCTACTGAAAAAAATATTCAAAAGGATGGAAATTTCTAGAGCATATGGCTGTTCCAATGACTTAAACCGTTTACTTTACTGTGGGGAACCACTCCAACATCCTGCAGTCCTGAACTGCTTTGTCATGGTGCTATTATACAATCTGCTCCCACCTTATGAGGTTATGGCTCAGATCCTAGGGCAAACATTTCTACATCACTATAAAAAGTATGAACAACAAAGTGGTTTAACCACTGTGTCCTGTGAGGAAATAAATGAGCAGTGCAGACAAATTGATTGTGTCAGGAGTGATTTTGTCCAAAATCTTCAGAGCTTGTAAGCAGAACTAGTGACGATAAGAACTGGACATCAGATCCAAATTTTGCTTAAAAAATACCATGAGCCATTACAGGTATGTTCCTTGTGCACGTGCAGATAAAATGCTAGAATGAAAAAATCAGGACAAAACTCCACAACTCAATAGGTTTCTTGATTTTTTTCTGGAAGGTTTCTTTTTTCTTTTTGGACAGACAGATTTCGTAAACTTATTCCTTGCCTTCCAATCACACACCTCCTGCAAAACCTCACACCTTGTCAAGGCCGTTAACAACGCTCTTTAGTCTCCCAATAATCACCATGCAAAAGAACAGTCCTCAACCCTCTAGACAAGTGTCAGTCCTCAAAATTACTAAAGAGCCATCACACACTCTCAAGCTCTTAACATTTAACTACAGACATTGTTTATAATATATTTTAGAGAACGTTTTTATTTGAAAGCTTGCATAGATTGTATGTTATAATACCTTTCTTAAGCATTACTGCAGGATAGCTTGTGTTCTGGTAACCATTACCATGGCAAATTTTTGAAACCAAATTTTATTCGTCAGAATCACACACTTCTGTATCTCTAGACAAGACTAATAAACAGCAAATACTAGCTCATAAACTGTGCATTCTCTGTATTAATCTAGTCTGCTTCATTCTCTCTTATTCAAAGAGTTCACATCAAAACTGTTTCTCCACCATGCAACACAGCAGAAATCATGACATCAATGACTACTTTCTCATTTTTTTTGTAAAATATTCGAGTAGGGTAATTTCTGGCTTTGCTAACCAGTCTAAACAAGCTTTATTAAACCTTTAATGTTGAGTTTTAAAAGCCTCACATTAGCTAAACAATATAATGATTGTACTTGTGACAAATGGATATGTGGTGGAGACAGCATGTCAGAGAATTAAAGGAGTCATCCCATTTCAATCTAAGTTGAGTATTTCACTGGAAGCACACACATGCAAATTCAACAGTGTAGAAACCTTTTCACCACTAACAACATAGAAATTTAATGGAGAAACTCAGGCAATTATTTTTTCTAAGTTGTGTGCCAAATTCAGTATTTCTGAAAATCATGTTCTTGCAAAGACTTTCAGATTGTCCTTTTCTATTTGCTGAAAACATGCAGTGAAGCCACACTCCCTGTAAATATCCAACCAGTTCCCTGCTGGAATCTGGCTGTCAGGAACACAGAGAATAATCCCTCCTTGCCTGTTATTAGAATGTGATGCCCTGCATAACTACCCTGAGTATATCTATACCCACCTTTAATATACCTCTACCTTGAGTGTATATCTACCTTGAGCACAGGATCTCTGAAAGACTGCTTCAAGTATTTTACTCTATGCCCCCTTTCCATTCATATTTAATGATCTGGGAGACATTGTTCAAATTTGAAAAGAGATGGTACATTCTGAGTTGTCATTTTTGTTTGTAAGGTTTAAAACACATATCATTAGTTAGGTTTGGCTTTCCTTTTGGCTGTGTTTAAGATTAGCAACTGAGATACCTCTATTAGCAGCAAACAAACACAATATTCAGCTGCATAG